GATGGACCTTATCCAAGCGAACACCATCATCCCACACAGAGAGCCCCATTCGGGAGTCCAGAGCCCTAACAACTACACCACCTCCGCTGACGCCCTTAAACAATACATTTGGATTGTGGGCTTTGAAGAAAATCAATTATTTCTGAGTAAATCCTAAACTGTACACTTATCCCAGACAGGAATTCCAAAGTTCAAATATGTCAACCTTGTTTTTCAATCAAATTCCTTGAGAACCTTTTTGCTGCATCCTATCTAAAGACAAAATGAAGAAAACACATACGTAATTGATAAATAGCAGGTAACGGCATGAGAACGCATTGATAGTATTCAATTAACCAGCACTGAATACAGATTCAAAAAGTGCTAGTTACCACAGTACATAACAATTTTACAAAATCGCAGGTAACACTTACAGTAGGCTATTGCATGATACAAATCTCCTTAAAAGTTTAAAAGAGCAAGTTTTTAGAACAGAACAGTCTCCAGATTGTACAGATGAGCATTCTTGGGCATTCTTAAAACTTAGCACGTCAACCTTACATTTTTTAAAGAAAAAGACAACAGTCTTGGATAAATTCCATACACAATTCAAACAGAAAAACAGCTGCACGCACGAGCCATACTGTTCACTTGCATGACGTCACTTGCCAGTATGTGAATGCCAGCAAGCAAGTTAATTTTAGTAACTGGGCACGCATCCCAGACAACGGTAACAATGTGACACCAAGTGTTCTGTCTTTGCACGATTCACTGCATTAATTCTAAACAAAGTTATAAAACCACGAGTGCTTAGCTTTCAGTCGCAGTCCATCCACCAATTTTCAACTGCTGTCAGACCTACCAGAGGCTTCCTGGAGCCATAGTAAAAGCAGTGTGGCAGTCAGAGCTTCTCTCTTGGGTCAGACATGTTGAAAGACACAAGCTGGAGGCTTAAGAGTCAGTCAGAGGTGAATGTCAACTTTCAAGCTGTTGTATCCAATGAGGACAGTGCGGAATGAGGTTTCTGGGCAAAACGCATAGGTAGTCGTGAAATGTCTGGATTCCAGGTTCTTGCGTTTACTTTACAAATACGTGCTGCTTTCACTGTTTTTATCATTATTTCAATTTCAGTGCAAATCAATTGAGACGTGAATGTGTTCATCTCCAGTATTGCCTGTTAGGATACAGTCCGAGTTATACAGTAAAAATAAAGACAATAAAAGCAAACCTCTTGGCATTTACCAGATCTACATTCATGTCTCCCAGTTAGAATGAAAGGAACTGCCCTACAAAGAGTAACTTTCTCTTGACACTTTGGCCCAGAATTCCTGTCTGCAGCTCCTCTAATCTAGAGGCACCAGGTCCAAATACATCTCCCATTGTGTTGGTCATAGTGTTATGCACTTCTAAGTTTGAAACTTTTTAGAAAAAAATGAAATCGCTCGTCAGGCCATTTTTTTAACCATTTTCCTCCCTATATAATCTAAAATTAGAAAGACATTTTCCTTTAATCAAAAGAAAGCATCATACTCACAGCATTACAATAAGTGCAGATGGTTCGTACATAATATACACAGCAGTGTAAGTGTTTTCTGTGGTGCAGCTTATACCACCTACTCAAAAAAATCAGTGTATAACAATACACCATGCTAAGAAAATGACTCCAGGTAATAGGATGCTCTCTTGCTTGCTGAGAGTGTGAGACTATTAAGCAAGACAAGCAGGATAGCCCAACAGCAGCTCCAGAAAAGAGCATGCAGCTCAAGACTGGACCAATATGCAGCGTTCAGAAAGTGCAGACTGACCTCTGTCCTTGGACAGGCTCAGAGAAAGAGCCAGACACACTTCAGATGCGAAGCTATTTGCAAATTGAGTAAATCACCAAAACAAAATCAATGTTTAGTTTTTGAAAGCATTATTATAATCTGGTAAATTTCACTAAAAAATGTTTTTTTACCTGAACCAGTCATTAACTTCTGTCTGCTGAATGACTAAACGCACGAGGTGCTCTGTGGTCTCTTACTAGTGATTAAACCATTTGGTTCCAAATCACTTGTGTAGTGCTCTGTAGAACGGAAGACTGCTTTCAGATTTAGCTTTTAATCTACTACAGCACTAGAGTTAATCATCGCGTCCATAATGGTATCAGTTTTGAATATATTTTGTGATAAATTGTTGAAAGTATCACATTTAAAATATGTCTGTATATTAAAACCATCAGAACACATGTATAAGATCTGGGCCTTTAATTTAGTGAACCCCTGATTTCATAGCAATCCTTCATATATAGATTAAAAAAGGATTGCAAATGTACAAGTTTTACAGTCACGCCGCTGCTCTGCATGCAAAACAATCTCTTACAAACACAGAAGATAAAGCACAACCCTCGAGTACCTCTTTCGAAATCAAGAATAAAAATCGAATTGAAATCCAAAGATAAAAAATATAATACCGGCAATACCGCGATATTTAAAATTAAAATGATCGTTACGTTTCGTGCGAAGTACTGCAAAACAGTCAATATATGTTGCTACATAAGATATCAGTGTAACGAATAATTAACCGTAGTTATTTAATGCAATATTCTGTTCCCCAATCATTTCAACTGCAAAAAGACGCGAATAGTTTTGGACTGGTGGGGCACATTAACCTATAAAAACGCGAAAAGGTCGGGGTAATTATGTTAAATCAATGCGAACAGATCCTGTTGCCACAGGATTTATTACCGGGTCCCTACATTTTATTACGTGGTGCGGTGAAAACCCAGAACCGTTACTCTACTTCCAAATACCTGTTTAAATGAGCACTGTGGTTTCATAATCTACAAAAAAAAAATCCAACCGTTTTATCATGGATTTATCAGACATTGCACATCACCGACCCTCTGGAAGATTTTGACAGAAAAGGGGTACGTAACACATCGACCCCAGAGCACAATCCGGTCTCGCCCGGCTGTGTTTAACTGTAAACGCTGCGTTATGTCTGCCGTCTACAGTCAAAAAGGCCGCTGTGTCTTTAAGTAGTAATCCCTCCAAATCTAAGTGTTTGTTGCCAACCAGCTAATGGGCGGTTCAGTGTAATGTCCACACTACCCAGTGGGAGGTCTCTTTCTATTACAATCACTACTGTCTCTCAAGTTTAAATAGCTCTTAAAGCAACACTGCCCCGAGTATTAGCTAAACACCATTTACCGATCATTATTTTAATTTGGAATCTTCCAAAACGTACTTATTAAAGTATTTTAAGAAACAAAAGTCAGCAGCTCCAGCAGAATGGATATCTTTGACACTAAAGTGTTCATGAACTACAGTAAGGCTTCAACTTGTCAGCTACAATAAAAAAATAGTCTATTATTTTACGTTACCTTTACACCAACACGTTGTTACATACAAGTTCTCTTAACAAATGACCGTTCCCAGGATTTTAGCCTAGCTCACGCCAGTCGGATGAAAGCAATTTAAACAGCCTAATCCAACAGGCGGAATTGCCTCTCGGTGCTACACAGCATTCGTTGCAAATGAATGGGGGCTGCAATCTTTCCTTCCAGTGTTAGGTTTCCTATTTGTGATTGACTTTTTAATGCAAAGAATTCGCATTGTGTGTGTGTGTGTGTTAAAAACCACAATAGCGTAGCCGCCGTGTATTCGGGCGACCCAGTATAACGATACTGCATTGTGTTCACGATTCTCTCACATGAATTATACCTTTGATTCAATTTATCTAGCTTCCTAAGTCGGACTATCGCCATTAATAACAGGTTACATTTGCCAAAGCAGTAAGTTCCTGATACAAAAGATTAATGAAAACAATCCGTGGAGCTGCAATTTAAGGGTCAAACATCAGCTGCCTTAACAATTTTAAAGCGAGGGAGGGTAACGAACGACCGTGCAATAATAGCGAGTGTTCTTTACTTCGTCAAACCTATGGATCAAATAATCCTGATTTCACATGCTAAAGCATGAGATCAGAAGTCGGGTCTATACATTCCAAGTCCACCAATAAAGAGAGACCGGCTACCCAGAAAGAGTTATCACCGCATTTCTAAATTGTTTTGTGCTTTAAGGCTTCGCTGGCGATGAGCGTGGCTTCCGGTTTCGACAGAAAAGAGCATGATTTTTCTAACCTTTTAAAAAAGGGGGAAACATACAGCATTACTTAAGCTACAGAAACAACTCCAAAAAGCAGTTCTGAGTGAACAACACTGCAGACAGCATCTCAATATATATAGGCCAATTGTTTTCAAACGGGATGTACAGTCTTCAAACATTTTTATTGACGAAACCACCTACAGAACGTAGGTGACAAATGAAAAAAGTAAAACCGAAGACCAGCTGCTTTGCAAAGACAGTAGTGACTTCTGCCTGTGAATCGTGCTGCACCGGGGGTTATACACTAAACACAGGCAATGAAGAAGTAATTTTAGGAGGCACAAACAAATATCATTTTGACTGCTAAATGCATTAAAAACAACAGAGTACAGTGTTTAGAAACGTCTCTAGACTTAGTATAGTTCCAGAATAAAAACGGAAGATAAAACAAGTTTAGATAACACAATAAAAGGAAACACTATACGTTATAAAATCATAATTGGCCTCACTGTAAAGACATGCACACATCGTTCCCTTCGGAACACAGAAAAGCAACCGGTTGGTCGTTGAATTTTTTATAATTACACACCATATCGTACTGTCAACAGCAACTCTGCCCACATCTTGAGCTTTCCTCAATCACTTTTAAAAGCAAAGCAACATTGCCCTCAAAAGGACTGCGCCAAAGTTTCTTTTTGATTTACGATTCCTTAATTACCAGCGATACGAGGTTCAGGACCAAAGTTTTGAGCATGTGTCCATTTAACAAATACTAGCACAGAAACTCCAAAGAGACTGCTTCGCTGAGCAGTTACCTTCTTCTATAAACGGGACGATAAGATTTCTTTTTATCTAGAACTGTTTAACAAAAAGTATTTTCAAACAAATACGGAAAGTGGTACTTGGGGAGAAGGGGGCTCTCATGTTTCTTACCGCTATCAGTGTGTTATTTCTGTGTTCTGGGGTGGTTGCCGACTCTGGGTCTTGCTGTTTGTTTTGCTGTTTATTATTAGCGGATTTCTTAGCCCTCTGCTCCAGGCTTCTCTGATATAGGCTGACCGTCTCCCTGCGTTCAATCTCCAGCTGTTCCGCATGGGCTTGCTGATACCTGTTTTCACAGTTTACATGGTGCCTCCGACAGCCTTCGATCCTCTGCCTCAATCTCTCCACCACTGTGCTGTGCTTAGGAATGCCCACATTGTTACTGTTATTACTAGTGTTGATGCCGCTGTTTATGTTATTGTTGTTGATGCAAATGCTACTGCCGTTAGCAGCAGTGGGGGTTGCAAAATCCCCCATCCTATAGTCTGTGCACAGTATTTTGGAATAACTTTCTCTTGCCTCTTGTGTTTAAAATGTTTCCAGGGAGGATATGAGTAGGGAGGGAAAAATCAAAAGACTAGAAAACAAGCGGTGGTTTTCTTCCCCCTTCGGGAAAATCTGTAATTCAGTCATGCAACACTATCTAAAACAATACTGTACTCGGAACTGCAAACAGACAATAACATCAGAGCGAGTTTGACCGCGCTCAGCAGTCTGTCCCTTACTCAATCCCACTGCCAGTTTAAGCAGACTGTGTTTAATTCAACTCCATAGAAGATCCGGATGTTACGAGAGATCATCACACACAACAGCCAATGTTGCCAGCTCGCTTCTTTATTGTGTTTTCCTTTAAGAAAAAGTTTTGCTGCTTGCAGCGCTGAGGCTCCAGAGTAGTTTTGCGAACTTGCATCTCATTAGATTATCTGTAAAATCCCCAGGTACAAAGCGATTTTTAAAAAATCCTGCCCTTTAGCGGAAAAAACGAACGAAATCCTAGAAACGCCGATCTGCTGGTTGCTCGCAGCTGCTGCCACCATCACAATAATCAAGTGCTATCCTCCTCCTCCATGCCAGCGGAGTGATATCAGGACAAGAGCTGAGTAAAAAGCAGCTAGAGGCTGTGAGCAGCCCAAAGTGGCACGCAAAACACGGACCAGATTCCAATTGTGGGATCTGGACTTCTTAAAACCGCACATACTCGTACTATGATACCTTTAAGAAAATATATCAGTATAAGTTAATACACTCACGGTCTTATAAGCTGATAGAGGAAATACACTTTTTTAGATCTGTTTTTTTTCTATCAGATGGTTAGGTGCACGGTTTAATCAGCGGTGATACTTCATTGATTTCTACGGAATTGCTGAAAACATTGCGTTTGATCAAATGAACACGGTACCCTTAGAGTGCGTCTTGTGGGTCTGTGTAAGTGCGTTTTCTTTCTTCTCTGTACTGTAAAGACTGCACATTCTCTTCCTTTCCCACAGATTCCGATTTAGTTACGACAATCGAGAGACTTTATGTCGCGTTAAGGACGTTCTAACAGTAGTTACTCTCTGGAGTACAGAACTTCTGTGAAGTTACTAGAATTTCAAATATTAGGCTGTTTATTTTTAGTTGGAAACACTTTATTTTGTTTCAACTGTCACCTAGTCTTTGCATTACGTTTTGTTTGTATTATATGTGATAAATATTTTGCACACAATATTGATCATTTTCTTTTATTTGTGTACAAACACAAATGCTACTGCAAATGCTGATAGTCTTCGAGTTAAAATATTATATCATGAAGTTTTCCCTAAGCCACTTCATACTGTAAGTATACCATCAAAACAATGGTGCACTTGAAATAATAACAAGGGTTTAATTTGTCTGTTTAATTCAAACAAACAGGCATTCATAATAACAGTTATATACGGCAGTACAAATCAATGCATTTCTAGACTACTTTGTTTCCTACATTAAAATCAAATTCTCAATAATAGAACCTTTTATTGTGAGAGAGCACTGCAAATATAAATTCACAATACTCCATATAGTAGGTAGTAAAGGCTCTCTCTCGTATTTTCTCATTGATTAGAGTATGCTGCTCGTCACACAACATTATTTCACAATTCGCCAGTTAGATGGTTAAATCCATTGGCAAACATCAGTTAATCTTGTCAAAGAATCAGAGAAGATCCACGTTTACTGACATTGTATACTGAATAGTCTTTCTGCCGTGTTCGCAATGTTCACCCATGAATCACTTATTTAGGTGGATTATATTGTGTTGTGGATATTATGTACCAAAATGTTAAAAGACATTCAACACAGTATTTTTACATTTTAACACCATTCATTCTGTCTTTAATACTTGTCCTTACAATTATTACAAACAATAAGCATTGGTAACTAAGGACCCTCTACATAGAAGGAAACATACATGACAAAAAAAAAACTCATGTGAGCGGGTGACTTAAATTGTCTATGAGCCGTCTGTTCAGCGTATGAGAAGGAGCAGCTATTTCAATTACTCCATACCGAGTCAGGCTTCCTTTCAGCCTGTGCAGGAAGCTACACTGCAGTGACCTGGGTTTCCCTGCTCTCCTCTGCCAGCCACATGGCTTAAACATGCCATGATTTACAGCTACAGTGGTGCTAGAAAGTTTGTGAACCCTTTAGAATTCTGAATTTCTGCATAAATTTGACCTAAAATGTGAGCAGGTCTTCATCTAAGTCATAAAAATAGATAAAGAGAACCCAATAAAACAAATAACACACAAAAGGATATACTTTATCATTCATTTATTGATCAAAATAATCCAACATTAAATGTCTGTGATGGAAAAAGTATGTGAACCTCTAGGATTATCAGTTCAGTTAAGGGGTTAGTCAGGAGTGCCTATCAATGGGATGACAATCAGGTGTGAGTTTGGGTGGTCAGGCCCTATTTAAAAACCATAACCCTGAGTCTTCACTACCAAAGTCTGGTCTTCAACACACAGGTTTGTGAACGCATGCCACGCCTCAATCAAAGGAGATTTCTGAGGACCTCAGAAAAAGTTTTGTCATCAGGCTGGAAAAGGTTACAAAATGATTTCTAAAGACTTTGGGCTTCACCAATACACTATCAGGCAGATAGTGACAAATAGAGAAATTTCAACACCATTGTTACTCTACCCAGGAATTACTCCAAGAGCAAGGCGTATAATAATCCGGGAGATCACAAAGAACCCCAGGGTAACATCTAAAGATCTGCAGGCCTCTCTTGCACTGGCTAATGTCAGTGTTCATGAGTACATCATCAGGCAAACACCGAACAAGAATAGTGTGCATGGGAGGATAGCAAGGAGGAAGTCACTACTCTCCAAGAAGAACATTGCTGCCAATTTAAAGTTTGCTAAAGACCACCTGGATGAGCCAGAAGACTACTGGAAGAATGTTCTGTGGATGGATGAGTCGAAAATAGAACTTTTTGGCTTCAGTGAGAAATGTTTGGTGAAAACCAAACAGTGCATTCCAACATAAGAACCTCATCCCAGGCGTGAAAGACAGTGGTGGCAGTATCATGTATGGGCCTGTTTTGCTGCCACTGGACCAGGAAGCCTTGCCATCATTGACTGAACTAAGAATTCTGGATTGTACTAGCAAATTCTACAGGAGAATGTCAGGGTATCTGTCCGTGAACTGAAGCTCAACAGAAGGTGGGTCTTGCAGCAAGACAATGACACTAAACACACAAGTCAGTCTCCCAAAGAATGGCTGAAACAGAAGAAATGTTGCATTTTGGAATAGCCAAGTCAAAGTCCAGACCTTAATCCAATAGAAATGTTGTGGCAGGACCTGAAGTGGGGAGTTCATGGAAGAAAACCCACCAACATCACTGAGTTGAAGCAGTTCTGTAAGAAGGAATGGACCAAAATTCCTCCAAGCCAGTGTGCGGGACTGATCAGCAGTTACTGTAAATGTTTGGTTGAACTCATTGCTGCTCAAGGGGGTCACACCAGTTACTGAAAGCATAGGTTCACATACTCTTTCTGACAAAGACATTTATTGTTGGATTATTTTGATCAATAAATGAATGAAAAAGTATATCCTTTTGTGTGTTATTTGTTTTATTTGGTTTTCTTAATCTATTTTTATGACTTAGATGAAGATTTGATCACATTTTAGGTCACATTTATGCAGAAATTCAGAACATTCTAGAGGGTTCACAAACTTTCTAGCAACACCGTAGGTAAGGAAATTAAACTTTAAATTGGACACTAGTTTGCATCACGCTTTCTTCAGAGTAGACACGCTGTAAATAAATATGTTCTAAAGCTTGGAACTGCACAACCCAAGCAGGTACTGCTTTTCCTGTCACATACAAATACATAGATGAAAGCAACAGAAAAAATAATCACATTTGAAGGTTTCTGTCACTGTTTATAATACAACATGACCACAGAGACAACTCTGAAATCAGGTGCAGTTGTGAAAGAATTTGCAGTTGTGGATATACTTCTGGATGGATTCTACCTTTGTGCTCCCAGCAACATTCTACATGATCACAGCACTGCAAGTGACAGTGATGAAAGAGGTAATGGTGATTTCAGCGGGTCATTGCAAGATGTTAAAAACAAGCAGTGCGGCACCACATAAACTGTGAAAGGACCCTTGCTTTTACAGTGAGTTTATTTTGGTTGCCTAACATGTTCAGATTTAAATTTTAAAGCTTATAACTATAAAGTCATAAAGAAACCTTCCCTGGATTGGGTTGCTATTGTTCTTAATACCAAATGAAATAATGAAATTGTGTTATACAAAATGAGATGTATTTTTTAGAAAGGAGATCTCAACAAATCAGCAAGTAAATTCTTTATTTTATATTTTTTAACAGTTAAATAAATACTTTTTTGTTTAAAGCTACAAAGTTACCTCGACTCATCATCTCGCACTGCTACATTGCAATATTTTTAGTGTAAAGTACATAATATTGCTTAATACATGTAATTAGACTTAAATAAGAGCAACTTTAGTGGATCTTACTCAGTTTGTCCTTAGATTCTGACATTGCTTTGCAATTTGTTTGTCCAGAAAGAATACAAAACTGCACATCTTGTGCGTTTCAATACATGGCCAGAATAGCAGAAGTAGAACTATGTGATTTCTTTTTACTGAAGAAGACATGTAGCATGTTTATTTCTAGTTATATAGAAAGACAGATGGACAGAGAGACAGCTAAACTAAAGACTTACAGGATAAAATTAACCAAATGTTATTGTTTTAAAGTTACAATACAACTTACTGGCATAAATCACAAAGGTAATTTTAACAATGAGAGTTTACTGTAGAACTGATACAGTAAATAATGTCTTACATTACATGCATTACATGTATTACAATACAGTATATAACGTATTACAGAGCCAAGGACTTTCTCAGATGCAGCCTGCATATTACATCTACACTGACATCATAGTCTAAAATATTCCTGCTTTAGAAAGTATGCAACAATGCAATAGAAATCCTCTCCATTGTAATTCTGTTCATCTCATAAAGTTTCATTGAACCCGTTCATCATCCTGACCTTTTCCAAAGATTTTCTTGTCCTGCTAGAACAGATGGGATTGCTCAGATGACCATGTGGGTTGGACAGCAAGTAAAGTCACATTTTTTGCTTTTGGGTATACTGCAATCACAATGGTTCGCTTGCAGTCAATTTTCTAATCCCTCTCAAAGCACTGTTATAACCCTTGGTCCACAACCTCAGCACTTGAGCACGCCAGAAAAGGGATGTCACCAGTGGAGTAGGTACTACTGATAGAAAAGGATAGAGTTTTTACTGAAAGAGTCAAGATGTGGTTAAAGTTTTCCTCTGGCAAAACAGAAAACAAAGGCATGACATCACATCATATAAAAATAACTGAAATACAGAAGGCAAATGGTATCAACACAGTTGGAAGTACTCAGTGAGATTGTTTTCCTATGACTATTAAAGCTGTACTTATTTCTCCTAATGACCCAGTGTACCGTGAAAAGCCAAAGAATTCCAAACACTGCTGCCAGTATAGTCAAACAATAGTATTGATATGATATGTGTC